CCTCTCGTCCTCTCTTAGATCCGCCTATAGCAGCAGCATTCAGCAAGTCCCTAGCTATTTTTTTTGTGACTCTTGGTATATGTTGAGCATCATCACTTCGTCCAAAATTATTCACAATGTGTAAATTTTTTATAAAATTTGACTTTTTATTGGCAGTGAATTATTTTTCAGGTAATGTACGACTGGTCCTCAACTGTACTATCGCTGTGGCCACGCGCACCTTCGAAATCAAGCGAATGTATGATTTCAGACTAAATTTTTTAATTCATTCAATAAATTCACTAAAATATGAATTATTCAGTCCATTAAATAGTTAATATTTTGATGTATTTTAACTAAATATTTTAATTCATAATATTTTAATTTATTTTTCTCAAAGGTGTAAATGATGTTATAACCAGTGCAGTAGCAATTTTGAACATTAATAGTACAAATAAAAGCCAAATAATAATCACCGGTCAGGAATGGAAATAGTCAGATTCATCACAAAAAATGACTGATATTACATGAATTTTGTATAATTTTTGCATAATTTTCAAGCGTAATAATTTGTGTAAAATCGTCTCTTTAATGCTAGCAATAAAAGGAATCTACAATTAGAAACAATAAGGGATGTTATTCGAAAAAACATAACTCAAATATTTTCGGTATAGTTGTAATAATTTATAGCATAATATAATGTCATGATTAAAATAGTAGGCAAAAACAAATTGCGATGAGTCATGGTATTAATCAAGATTTTCTGATTATTAAAGATCATCAGTTAATAACAGAAATCAAAATCTGAAAGTAATAGCTGCGCTAACAAATAATAGTGATAATCGAAAAACAATAGTAACGATCAGATTATCAAATATAACAGTGATAATATATAGCATTAGCAGGAGTTATCACCTTCATCAAATGTTGATGGAAGTTAGTGATATTATTAATCATGATTCTTTGCAAATATTGGTCCTGGTACTTGAATTCAAGAAATGGAATAGTAGAAAAAAAACATAATTCTAATATTTTCAATATGATGCAGTAATAACTTATAGCATAATAAAAATGTCATGTTTAAAGTCGTAGACAAAAAGAAATTGAGACGAATCATGATATTAATCATGATTCTCTAGAAATAATGAAGATTTAATCGTTAATTATGACTCTCATTAAATGGAAATAATGAAAAAAATGGTGCATATAATCGAATAGGTAGCGAGTGTTAATTAA